ATAACGATGATCACAACACTCTCACGTTCTGTCATGACAAACAATTCGATGAGATTTTGAAGAAAATCTCTATCATCGTTTTCTTATCCGATGATAGTGACAGAAGTATCTCTGTAAATATCCCATGAGATCTTTCATGGAAAATGACATTTGCCAGCCCTGTTCCGAATAAATGTCAGATGAGGACCGTGATAAGTTCTTCTGATGATTTCTGTGGGGAAATTCACCAAGACAACAAACTGCGTGTCGACGCTGTGAGCAAGCTCGCTTCCCAATAACGGCACAGTCGTGCTGTGTCAGAGCACCGACACACCGTCTGCAGGCTTGGTGACTGTTAATTGTTCCTAACCGATTGACCTCATTTGTTTTCTCCGACTTCTCCGTTCAGTACAAGATTACAAATTTGTCGAGGAAATATGCCTAATAATCTTAGCCTTTCGCAACCACAATCAAACCATCATAATGATTCAGATTTCAAAATTTTGCACGGCAAGGAATGAGAGAGAAGTTTTAAAATGCTTCTTTTATTTCTATTATTTCGAATTAAGTAATTTTAATTAATTAGGTTAAAACCTATGTGTATATATTACCAACTTGCATTTTTCTAATTAAACCGGAATATTAAGTTTATTGAGAGGGTTTTAAATCAAGAAAAAATTATTGAAAACTTTGTTCGATAAATACAATCATTTTATGATATCAATCCCATACCTCCCTGTGCAATATTTTTAAATCAACAACAGTTGAGTAATAATTATATCATATTATCAAGATGAAACTTTATTGCGATAATTTATTTGCACGATAAAGTTTTGTAGACGATAGATTGATAGTTCCGTTAGAGTACGGCAGTGTAAAAATTGAACAGAACTTGAAATTAAGCGAGGGGCCATTGATACGACAATACTAATCAAATACGTACTCCTTTGTTTAGCTCACAGTCTAGTCTGGGTGACACCTCACTCACTCCTCACACTTGAGGTGTTTTCTCCATCATGATTTTCAATATGGCCATGGGAGACCGAGTTTTCAGGCATATACGCAGCCATAGGATCTCAAAAACCCCATGATTGCTGTTTATGGGCACCACTCGCCTTATATTTCCAGTTCTCGCCATTTGCATTACCACTACTTCTTCATCTAGCACCTTTACCGCTTCCTCTGTTACTTTGTAGATGTTGTCCAACAATGATCTAGTTTTTTAGTTTTTTTTTTGCTGTACTGTCTGCTGTGGACCACCTGCTGCGATGCCCCTGCATCTTACACAAGAAACACATGTTTTTATTTATTGCATCGATTGAGGAAAAGCTGAAAAGTTGGGAATTTCATTTTTCATGTCCTTATATACACACCTGTTTATATGTCGAGGCACAATTCCGAAGGGAATTCCTCCACCTTCACTTTACCGTATTTCGCCATGCACCAGCTCTAGATCGCTATCCGGGACCTGTGGTGGGAGATCGTACACCCGCACGTATTGAACGTTGCCCGTTGTGTACCTCATCTGCCTTTTCAGCAGCATAATGGAACATTAATTGCTCAGGATTATACAGCATCGATTCTTCTGACTTTATGAAATTGGTAATTTCACCGATGGAGGGTTTCGCAGTTTCCTAGGCGAAGCTGAATTTGATTTTGTGCTTTAGTTTTGCGTCTACAGTGGGCGCCTTGCTATACTACCACCCCCCACTCATCGCTTAAAAAAATTATGACATCTGAACTGATTTCAATTATTATTATTTTATTGTTTGAAGTATTTTTCCGTCATTTTGTAAAAAAAAATATTTGATTGTAAAAAATCGTTGCAAACTGTTTGATTTCATCGGTGAATCGATGTTTTTTTCCTTGATTTGTTTCCCGTCGATCTTGTTTTCCGTGCTGAGCACGAATGATACCGACGCCAGGAAGGCAGCTCCCACACCTGGACCCTACCTATCGACCCATCAACTCATGAACTGGGGACCAACGGCTTTACTTCCCGTGATCAGAGATGTTATGCCTCAAAAACATTTCGGCGGCGCCTGCTGGGGTGAGAGATAATCACGCTTACCACACCACCGGCGCCGCTATCGGTGAATCGATCATTTATAACAGAAATAGACCAATTCAGTACTTTTGGGAAATTTTCCCAATGCCAGGTTCAATAGTTTTGGTGTCCGTCCGTTTGACCCGATGCCGTTTGGCCGAACGCTTGAAAAAAGATTTCCAATTTTTGAACACTAAAAGATTCCTAAATGGCAGCCCTTATAACAATCCATAGCTGAAATTCACTACACTATCCCCCCGCTTATCCGACACTAGACAACCCGACAACTCGAAAATCTGGACCCCGTTAATCCGGAAAATGGCGGATTGAAAAATATTAACACGTATTTGAATACAATGTCTGTTTGATTTGATTTTTAGTGTGGACAATCGGATTAACTAGTCAACAACCCGATAATCTGAGCATGATTTTGTCGGATGATACTGTACAATAAAGTCAAATAAAAAAAAATTCGATAAAATGTTCCATAAACTGTGTAACCCTCAAATTTCCAGGTATGCCCGTGTTTTTTTTTAGTTCGAGGAGCGCAGCGACGGGAAAACGTCTTCTTTAAGCTTCTTTTAGAAGCTTCTAACAGAAACTTTTTTTTAGAACCGGTTGTTCGCTATAAAAAAATGCACAATTTTCACTGTATGGTCAGTATTATTAGGACAGATAAAAAATCACGTTTACTGGGCTTACCAGTAATTTTCGCCGAAATGTTTTTACAGGTTTACTGACAAAAAAGTATTCATTTGACTTTGCGGATTGTTCGGTAATATAATCTGTCGCTGAACAGATAACTGGGCGTTCCGCAATTCAAAAACCCAGTAAAATATTACTGATTTCGGTAATCCAAAGTATGTGTGTAGTCTGAATATGGTATCAGCCTTACTATTAAGATTTTATGTCACCCAATATGGACCAAAACATACATATTAAAAAAATACACCTATTTGAATCATTATAGCAAAAATAACCCCATAAATGCTTACTAAAATAAAACAACATATCAATAGTTTGAAACGTTATTTTCAATTAAGTAGCTTGCTGTGGGGGATAATTATTAATAAGTATTATAACATAAATTATAGTTTTAGAATTTAAAGGTTTATGGTTCTTGTTTATTAACAGCAGATTGATTTTCCATTGATAATTTTAATATTATGTTTTAATGTAATGTTGCTCTTTTTATGCATTTACTAACGGAACATTTGTTAATTTAAACTTTTCAATGACACATATATGACATTTTTAATGAATGTCTTAACTCTTGAACATGCAGGTTTCTGTTGATACATTTGAGTGTAATACAGGAATCCCACAAATAGCGATATTGCTCTGCTGTCTTTTATCCAATGAGGACGATCTTTTATGTGAATAGGAACAACCATAAAATGATCACCTACATAAGCTCAATTGGTCGAAATACAGCCCCAAAATTGTGACGGGGGGAAAGCACCACCCACCGCGCTATTCGGGGGATTACTGCATGTTAGATATTTAAGGGTATTTCTAGACCAACACATTGTAATAGACAGAACCACCAAACGTAAACAGTGGCAAATTTCTGATTTTTTATATGATGTGTGGGGAACAGGATTTTTCAGTAATCAATGCTGCTCGTCTTAGTCCTTGTTACTTTTTATGCCTTGTTAATCGTGACAAAACTCGAGTTGCTTCCATCGAGAATGATCTTGAAACAAGGAAAAAATTAGTTAGTTAGTCTTCATCTATGTGATTCCTAAGCTTCTATTCGTTGTTCTCTAGTTTTAAGTGGTTGAGACTAGGGTCCTGATGCATGTTCAATTTCGGTGTCATTTCTTGATTTTGTTACTAAGGAATCCGATTGTGACAAAGACAAATGGGCGCGCTAACTCTTCGACGGGTATAAATAGCGGGACCTTTTAATTAGAATCGGTTTCTTGTGATAAAAACAAGAATTACAACTGCGTCAAAACCGAATACACGGGATGTACTACAAAAGGTCAAATTACTGGTCGCAGTGGTTTTATATCTTGAACAGAGGGAAAAAGGTGTTCCATAAAAGTTCATTCATCATTCAATTTGTAATGCGGATTAACCTGGGTATAATCAAGTAATTTACTGGTATTACGTATCAGTCCTACGTAGAAAATGGTAAATGTGTACCTAATTCAAAAACTGAAACAATAATTAAAGGTCATAAACTTAGTGCTAAAACACCTAGTAGGTGGTCCATAATAGTAATAGGCCAATTTATCCTATTATCAAAAGCCAATACAGGTCAATTTTCACTTCTATCGCTGATTTCTCGCCATCAACATCGCCATCGAACAGCGGAGACATTTTTCCATCTTTTGGCGTGGCGATTTGCGTGATTGAATTATCGTTCGGGAGAATTCAGCGATAAAAATGGGAAGTACGGCGTGTAAAATCAAAATATACCAATAACATTTAAAATCTTTTATGATAAGCCCCATTTTGGATGAACGAAAAACAGTTTTAACACTGTTTCTTCATGAAAGATGCGTTGTCTTATAAAATTATCTATTAGCGATAAATGTTTCAACTTGATTGTCGTTCATTCGACGTTAAATGCAGTGTGCTGAACGTTGACCCCACTGTTTTTGTATGAAACGCCAATCGAATCGCTACAATTAGCACTCGTCAAAACATTCAATCGGCAACATTCATAATCCTTTTTGTTCCAAAAGCCAAAGATGACAAACTAGGTAGTAGTAGGTACCAGATACCGATTTTTGCCGTACTAGTTCACACCATGCTCACAGCTGAACATATGATCGAATACCCAACAGGTTTGTACTATCGCATCGCAGCTGTTATGATAGCTTGTCCCTTCGGCGACAAAATTGCGCCGCATGTAATCGCTTCCCAAGAAATTCATACAAGTCCGACGGGTGCTGCAGCGGACACCGGTGCTCGCAGCTAACAGAGTGTTATCGTTTTTCTAGGAAACTGATAGTGAACTCACCTCCCGATCGATGAATGCAGCTCTCCGAAGGGAAAAATTTTCACGGCTATTTCTCTCGACTGGTGATCAAGAAATGCTGTTCTGACAGCTATGCTCTGGAAACACTTATCACACTGATTTTACACACTAAACACGGTTTAATGACACACTCTGTTACGACACCACCGTTGGTTCAGGTACCAACCCGTTCCTATGGGACACTTTTCCACGTAATTCCCAAAGTTGTCATCAAATATCACTCGCTAAACCGATAACCCATTCATGATATTTTCTGTAATGAGCACTACAATTGGGTCATAGTGATCGTTTGTTACCGATTGATAGATCAGTAGATTTTGTTCACACACCTTCACAACGAGTTTAGCTCACTGGCTTATCCAAGTTAATACGTCACAATTCAGCTAGATTTCAACACCGCAAAGAACACTATTTGATGGTTGATCGATTGATCACCGATGCGCCTGCCAGTGATCCCTGGAGCAAAACAGCAAACCCGCGGGAGAGGATTAAACAGCTGATTCCTGCCGGAGCGGATCGGGCGTGACGTTTAAGCCGGATCAACGGACACACGAGACTCGTTTGTTGGGCTTGTTGCTGGTCCAGCTCAACAACGGTCGCGTACACTAAACTCTCGCGGTTACAAGCTCTCGCACGACACTGGCCTCGCGCACTACGCACTACACCTATTATTGTTATTAATTAAACAAACAACAATAAAAATTATAATTAATGTTAATCCGCTGTGCACATGTACTCCTTACGAATGTTTATATCTAACTAAGTAGAAAAACAAACCATACCTCATAACTTTTCAATGAAAGGCTCCGAAGAAGAGGTGTTGTCTCACAAACACCATCTTCGCCAAAAACTTGCAAGTATCACGAACACATCAACGAAGTATTCCGGTTCCTTACCACTATGGTCATCCTTTTCCTTCTCATCCAGTTCGCCCTCCCGGGTGTCTGCAACGAACTGTTCCTTTCTTCATCATCCTTCAAGCGCACTCCACCAACAGCAACCCGTTTTGCGCTTTCGTCGAGCCTTCCACGATCGCTGCTGCATGTGTTGGTGTGCTTGCCAGCCCAGAATCGGGTCTTTTGTCTTCCCGGTCCACTCGCTCTCAACACATATTCTCTCACTCTCGCGAAAAAGATTTGAATACACAGCCCGTTCAAAGAGAGAAACCTGTGCTGCGTCGCCGTCGACACTGCCGTCAGCATTTTGAGCGAACGATGGAATACCTATCACATCTCCACAGTCGCGCAGCTTTCGAATACAAAAAAAAAATCAATGTGCGTAGAGGGGAGCAGTGCAGAAAAACAGGGCAAATGTAAGTAAAATTCTGTGTGCTACGGTGAGAGGGATGATTTTTTCACTATATTTTATATTCGTTCTCGTTCGTTCTCAATGATTGAATTAGATTGTTCTGCTACTGAATAATTAGATTTTTAAATCGTTAATTGAAAAAAAAAAAAAAAACATTGGAAACTTTTCAACCAGAATGCAGGAGAAAAATCAATAATTCAACTTTTGGATTTGCTGTCGAGTGCCCGTCTGTCGATTATTTTGGTAGTCTACCTAGTGATGCGAATATGGAGTTGAGGGAAAAAGTTTCAGGATATACCACGCAGCAAAAATATGCGCTCGTTTATCCCCAGGTAAAGGTGACATTGAACTAAATACGTTAGCTTTGGGTCGGTAGATTGGGGCCATAAAGGATTTGCAAATGTAGACACTCCATCCACGCCCTTTGTGGTGGAATGTTAAGTTTAAATTTTACCTAATTATCTGTCAAAAAGGATGGCTATAATATTAACATTTGTAGTTTGGAATGGTGTGCCGACTGACTTTGGGCTACTTCAGATGGGTACGCCATAAAATATGCAAGTTTATGGAAAGTCTTTGGCGTCAGTAATAGTGCTTCATTTGTATTTTGAAACCACTGCCGATAAATGAAGGTAAAAGTTAACGATTATCCGCTCCGACAAATTAATTGCAATGTTTTGCAAATATGAAAAGTTGAGTTAGTCGTGCGCTTTCAGAAATGTAAATCTGGAAGTCGGAAGATTGTTGCTATTGTCTGTATTTATGTATGTATAGACAATCTATCTACCACTTACCGGCAGTAAGGAATTATGGAAGAAACGTGTTTGCATCTAAATATGCCACATTTTGATAGGTGCTAACATTTTTAGTACTGAATTTGGAAGGTTATAGCTCTATTGTAGATCCGACGACCAATTTCAAGAATTACTGCTCAAACACAATTTCAAGAATTAACGCTATCCCACAAAATAAGACTCGCATGAATGCATTCCCATTGTCAAATGGATAATGACACTATTCATACATTTTCGAATTCCTAAACAATATGTTTTCGAACCAAGAGTGTATTTAATAGTAACAGCACAGACAAACAGACATAACTCATAGTATATTTCTCACTGTAAAACATCGTCGCTAAAACATTACCGCCATCTGTTGAGTACACTGTGGTGGGTAGTACGCTGAACAGATGGCGGTAGTGTGTAAACGTCAAACGCAAGGGAATTGACTACGCGCGCCACAGGTGGCGGTACTACCAACTACGATACTTTTAAATTGACCGTTAAATGCTTGTACGATGATCAACTTGCGAGTGTTATGTCTGTTTGTCTGTGGTAACAGTAATCATTGAATTGCACTGGATTTATAATAAGAACGATTTTATCAAATTTAACTTAACTTAACAGGCATGATGAAAGGACTACTGCAGTCGGCAACAATTTTGTTTTCCGCACCACGTTCCTTTGAATCACATAGACCTCTCTGATTGCAGGTCAAAGTGACCTAGTGAGTAAATAAAAAATTTCAAAATGTTTTTCTCTGAGACATCATTTCAAATTAAAAAAAGCTCTATCAGTTTTGTGCGAAAAAGTAAAAGGAAAACATCGACTGGAGCTTTTTGCAATCTGAAGTGATGTCTCAGAGGTCACTAGGTCATTTTCACCTTAAATTTGTTTACTGTCTACTGTGCAGGATTTATTCATGGCCATTTACCGAACATTGGTGACATTTTAATCATTGCTCAATAATATTATTGATTTCTTAAAAAAATATACTTTCGATATTCGGTGTTAGAAAAATTCTCTTTATACACCCAGCCGGGAAATGTTAGATTCAATTACAGATTTGCATGAAAACTAAGCAGAATTTGCTATGTTTCGTGACATGAACAGATTTTGTAATGGTCGCCGGAAAGTTTTTAGAATAATTTTGTAATTTTTATGTTAGCTTATTTTTCGAGAAAAAGTCATCTCGTGGAGGTTTTATTAAAAAAAATGAATTTTGGAAAAACTTGTACGCTGCATTCCATTGCAAGAACTGTCAGAACATTTGTTGTATGAACCATATGCAGAGGCTGTTATAAATCTAACCTTACAATGGATGTAAGAGAAATTTGCTTTGGGTGTAACGATTCGAATTATTGGCATTGTGTACAGGCACATTCCATGCGATTTCTTCATGTTTCAGCAGTTGTACTATAAGCTTTAATTAGCTTAAAATTCAATAAACCCAAGTAATATTGTCTACAAGTCTACAGGCAAAAGATGTGCGTCCTCCTTCTGCTCATAACTGACTGCGGCTGTGGAATAGTTCTAGCGACGTTTCATCACCACCTAAAGCCCCACGTTTGCGAGAGCATTTCCAGTTGATGGTGTGTTATAATGCAATTCTTCTTTACCCAACTATTGTGTTGCTCCTCTCGTCATGACCAACGTGGTCATCTCAGAGAGATGATCACATTATCACACTAAAGCTTCATGTTAGCATTTCCAACCAACTCTGAAAACTCTAACTTCGCGTATGAAGTAACATAAAAACACTTTGAATGTAACAACTCAAGGCGGGAGTAGCCGTCAACAATGCTGATGATGGTACAGTACGCAACAACCACCCTACTGCTATAAATCCAAGATGGCGGCTTCTGGTTTCCGGCCACTGGACATCGATTTTCGGTCTCTAAACGTCATCCCGATTCCGAAAATATCCATATTGAAGGGTATTTGGTAGTATTTTCTACGTTTTCTGAAATTGGAATCCACCATCTTGTGTTCTAAAATGGCGTCGGAAATCTATTTACGGGTTTGAGACGTCATCCCTATTCCGAAAATATACATATTCCATCTATATTGGTCCACTGAACAACTTCGTCGAATAAAGCAACTTCCTAGATGGCAAGGATTTCAATATATGACACAAACAAGGATATCACAAATTCATGTACACTAGCGCCGCGTAGTGAGAAAATTTAAAACTTCTGTCCACTAACGAGAAGGTTTTGATCCACTGAACAACTTCGTCGAAAAAACAACTTCCTGGATGACAAGGATTTCAAGATATCACACAAACAAGGATATCACAAACTCATGTACACTTGCGTCGCGTAGTGAAAAAAATCCGAACTTCCATCCACCAACGATAAGGTCTTGATCCACTGAACAACTTCGCCGAAGAAAGCAACTTCTTAGATGGCAAGGATTTCAAGATATCACACAAACAAGGATATCACAAATTCATGTACACTTGCGCCGCGTAGTGAGAAAATTCAAAACTTCTGTCCACTAACGATAAGGTTTTGATCCACTGAGCAACTTCGCCGGAAAAAAAAACTTCCTAGATGACAAGGATTTCAAGATATCACACAAACAAGGATAGCACAAATTTATGTACACTAGCGCCGCGTAGTGATAAAATTCCAAACTTCTGTCCACCAACCATAAGGTCTTGATCCATTAAACAACTTTGTCGAAGACAGTAGCCTTCTATATGTCCAGGATCGCGAGATATTCCATTTTGGTCCCTATTAGGTCAAATCGTATATGCTACGTGTACTCCATTTACGCGAATTCAATTTACGTGGTACTTATTACTCGCGCTCTTCGGGGGAAAGCTATAGTTTTACATTTACAGATTAGTTTCTGGTTCTTCCGCTTCCATAGCACATAAATAGCTGCACGGACTGAACAAATAGCTTCCCCAATTACATCAAAGTCGAACGCTACCGGAACGAGGAGTTTGTCGGATTTTTCGAACTTTTCCAATTTTCGCACCAGCATCGTCTATGCTACACCGATTGCAGCAAGATAGAAAGCTCGTGAAATGTTCTACAACAATACGATATATCTATGAAATCGGATATTCATGACTGTATCTGTAGTCTGTAGTCTTGTGGATTAAATTACTAATACGCAATTGATTGCCAGCTGTCATTTCATCCCATACAGATAAAAATTCTGAATTTTAATTGTGATGTAAACATTCATTCACGTAAACTTGTATTTAATTTCACGCAACCGAGCAACTTGTAAACAATGTTGTTTACAACAATGGGCTTTTGTATACAATGTTTGCTACATTGCATGAAATGTCTCAGAACTTTACACGATGTATAATGTAAACGTAAATGATATGTGACGCTCCATTTATGTGCATCATATTGAACTGAAATTCACACTACTTTTTAGAACTGTGCAGGTTATTTTATAAAGTTTATATATAGTATATTATAGAACTTCACAGAATTTCATGAAAGTACTTGCGTCTTTTACAGCAAACAAATATTCTCTATAATAAATATATGATCCCAGACTTCTAAGAAATTATTCCAAAGATCTTCAGGTGCTCTAAGATCTCCATAAAGTCTAATTTATAAAAGACCTTCAACTATCCAAAAATTCAAATCACGTTAATTAGATGTTCTCTCATGACACCTGGTTGCT